AGTTCACCGATCTTTTGCTATGATACAAATCTCTATTACGAGTTTACGTTGATATCAAGGCTAGAAAAATATTCAAGGATATAATTCATGACAAAATCTATTTACCCTCTCTCATTGGAAGAATACAGGAAGTTGTTCCCCCCCCCATATCATTGAGTAATTTCAAAACCAAAATATGGAAACAAATTTTTAAATTTTAATAAATAAATTTTATTTTTTGAAAAAAAATTTATTTTTTGAAAAAGAAAATTTAATATACAAAAAATTCACTAAATTATAAAAAAAAATTACATTAAAAAAAAATTCTATTTTTAAATTACTGAAAATTTTTTAAACAAAATCGTTTTCCCATAATGGCCGCGAAAAAATTAAATTTATAATACATAATAAAAAAAAAAAAAAAAATATTGTAAATAATGAACTAAATCATTTAACTTTTCCTTCCTGACAATAAATAATTTACGGCGAAATAAAAAAGGAAAAAAAAATTGTCCGTAAAATTGTTTACAAAAATAATATATAAATCGAGCGGAAATGTAATTTTTCCCTACATGGAAAAATTTAAAACGCAGAAATCGTGAATCACAATATATATAAAAAAAAATATAATAATTGAGGTGAATTATTTTGTCATATATATGACGAAGGGAAAATCACTTTTGTGGAAAAAATTCCAGAACAAATTGTTTATATTTCTCGATTTTTTATTTTTTTTTTTTTTTTTTAATATTATTTGTCATATATATCAAGGATTTCAGGAAAGAGGAAATAATCGCAAAAAGAAATTTTGTGATTATTAAAAAAAATCATCGCATCTAGGAAAAATATAACATTAATCATATATCTTCAATAGAGCACAAGAGTATTTACCAGAATTTACAATTAGATGAACACGGGGGATTTTTATCAATGAACAAGAAGTTGATTCAAATTTTATATAATAAAAAATTAATTTAAAAAAAAAATTATTTCTTAGAAAAAAAATGAATTTTTTTTCAATGGAATTTTTTTGAAAATATAAAAAATAAAAATTTTTTTTTTTATAAATTTTTTAATTACCCGTGTGGAAAAAGCCACGATCTTGCCCTCAAGAGTTCGGGGCCCCCGGCGGGGGCCCATGAGGGCTGATCCATATGGCGAATCCATGAGGGGCACCGTAGGGGCCCCGCATGGATCGCCCTCATGATCGATTAGCAAAATTTTCTAAGTCCAAAAATCAAATATTTTTTTATCACCAAAAAATTAATGTTTATAATGATTCAGAACAATGAAAAACGCGTTTTTAATTAAAATATATTTTCACTTTTTTTGAAAATAACACTCACACTTATGGCGAATCCATGAGGGGCACCGTAGGGGCCCCGCATGGATCGCCCTCATGATCGATTAGCAAAATTTTCTAAGTCCAAAAATCAAATATTTTTTTATCACCAAAAAATTAATGTTTATAATGATTCAGAACCACGAAAAACGCGTTTTTAATAAAAATATATTTACACTTTTTTGAAAATAACACTCACACTTATGGCAAAATAGATGAGGGCCACCGTAGGGGCCCGCATGGATCGCCCTCATGATCGATTAGCAAAATTTTCTAAGTCCAAAAATCAAATATTTTTTTATCAACAAAAAATGAATGTTTCCAATGATTTAAAACAACGAAAAACGCGTTTTTAATAAAAATATATTTACACTTTTTTGAAAATTCGCCTGAGATGATTCATGATAATAATCATAAAGCATATAATTAATTATATTTTATAAATTGCATTTGATTGGAAAATATAATTTAATATCTTAACTTTAACTAAATGATGTTAAGCACTTTTCTTTGTTAGGTATTTTTGAAGTTTAAATAGCATCAAGAAGTTAGCATTCGTTTTGAAGTAGCGTACGTAGCGTAGTTGGTAAAGCGTTAGACTCATAGTCCGTAGGTCGTAGGTTCGATTCCCCCCATGCGTTAGATTTATTTATTTCTCAGGTTTGCGTTTAATCATTAATTCTATGTATGAATTAATTGAAAAATGAAAATATCCGTTAATAGTATGCATAAATTAAATATTTTTTAATTTTTTAATTAATTAATTTATTATTACTTTTAATTATATCCGACAGTTAATTAATTAGAACGTTAATTAATAAATTGAATTTGAGTAAGAATTTAATTTAAAATTGAATAATTATTAAATAAATATGTTATTTATTCATAACTTAAGCTTATTTATTATTAATTAACTTTTATTATTAATATTATTGATTAAAAAACATTATGGCAAACTTGAGGGCAAGATGAGGGCAAACGTGAGGGCCCATAAGGGCGCCCGTAGGGGCACCCTCATGGATCGCCCATGCGGGCGCCCTCATCGATGAGCATGTCGTTTCCATGAGGGGCCCCTATGGATCATCCATATGCGGCCCTCATGGCATGAGGGCGATCCATAAGGGCCCCCGCTGGGGGCCCACATCACTTTTCCACACGGGTATATTTTTTATATTATTATTTGCATTATTAATTTCCATTACACAATTTTTGAAAATTTAAAAGAAATTTGTTTCAAAAAAAATTAATATAAACTGAAATTGTTTTATTAAAAATAAATTAAGTAAAAAATAATTAATCGCAAAAAAACTAAATGACGTTCAACAAATAGTACAATCAAAATTTTTTTTAATTTTCAAAAATATGGTATATGTCTTTTTCCTAACCAATAAATCGAAAAATTTATCGCAAAGTAATTATTTTAATTCCTTCCCCTTTCCAAAAAAAAATGAATAAAAAAAAACTATTGTAATTATACAACACTTTAAATAATAATTATGCTACCAGAAAATGCATAGAAAAAGTTAAGAATTTAAAAAAAAACAAATGCAATTAACAATATAATGAATCATTTTTACTAGAAATTACAACTCATAAATAAATAATTGACTTTACAGATGGATTTTTCTTTTTATATTTAATAATAATTTGCAAAAATTTTCAAAAAAAAATATTTCTATTATATTTAAACTGATTTTAATTATCCATTGATAATAATAAAAATAAAACAAAAAAAAACTGAAAAATCAATAAATTTTGAAAATTATATTTAAATTTTAATAATTATATTGTAAATTATATTTTTTATCATATATATATATATATTAACAATGTTGCATTTTGAATTATGGAAAATAGATTTATAAATTATTAATAAAATAAACTTATTTCAATGAGGAATTGAATAGGTTGATAAATCTGTTGAAGGAGATTTGTTACGTATATCATATAATTATTTGAATCATACTTCATCCCAGTTCCTCTTACGTATTATGTCAGGGTCAAAATCAATCTTACATTCCTTACAAATCATTTTTATTATATTTCTCAATTAATTTTTTTTTTTTCAAAATCTATAGAAAAATTCCTATTTTATCGAAACGAATTCAATAAATTGAAGAAGAAACAATTTTTTTTATATAAAAACCTAACACGAATCACAAAAATTTTGAATTTCAACAAGAACCTAAAATTAATTTTGAAAATAAAAATTTTCCAAGAATTGTAATTCCATTGAAGAATAATAATAATTATTATTATTATTATTAATAATTAATTAATAATACCTAATAATTAATTAATAATACTTAATAATTAATTAATAATACCTAATAATTAATTAATAATACCTAATAATTAATAATTATTAATAATAATATAAAAAAAAATTTAATCGCCATATAAATTAATTTGAAAATAAATTTTTGAAGAATTGAAATTCCAATTTCAAAAACCGAAATTCCATTGACTATAAAAGTCTCAAAAATAAATTCGAAAAAACTGGAAATATAATTTGATGAAAAAAAAAAATTTGATCGCCATATAAAAACAATTTTCAGGTTTAAATTTTTTTTTTGAAAAAAAAATTTATAAAATTTATTCACAAATAATTGTCAAAAAGAAAAAGAGGAAATTTGAGAGAGTTTCGATGTAAAAAAAAGAAGAAAAAAAAAAAAAAAAAAGAAATCCGAGATTTGCCTGATCTGTTCTTGATATTGCGTGAACGTGGCTTATTGAACAGAATTAATTGCACACATATATATATATATGTGAAACCGGTCAGGCAACGACCTATCAAATATCAAAAAGTGTATATAAATGATTTACGAAATGCTACAAAATTTCAAAAGATTATTTAGTTAACTGTGTATGCATATATATATATATATATATATATATATATATATATATATATATATATATATAAATGTATGCTAATAATTTCTAAATTAAAATAACAAATTCCATTGAAATTAAAAGTGCTCAAATTCACATTTAATTTACTCATTTTGACACATGTTCAAGTCATGTTATAAGAGCCTCAAGATAAAATCGCAGAAAGATCACGGTAAATTCATTTGACAAATAATACACCAATTAGTGTCATTGGAAGTAATTAAATAATCGATTTAAATTTTTTTTTTTATTAACTTTTTTTAAAAATAAATTTAACAATTCGTGAATATATTTTTTTTTATATAATTAATTATTAAATTATTTAATATTACATAACATTTAATAAATAAATTCATGCGATTAATTTAAATTACACTGGAAAAAAAAATTATTTGATTTAAATACTCAATTATTTGACTATTATTAAATATTTATTTGTATCAAATAATTACTATTTGAACCAATAAATTCTATATTTGAAATATAGAAATTATTGGTTCAAATAAAATGTAAATAAAAATTATTTGGTTCAAGTAAATATTTATTTGATAATAGTCAACTCGAGTATTTGAATCAAATACATTTTTTTTCAGTGTAGAAAAAATAAGTAATCTAATTATACTTCGTTAATTACGAGATTAATTATTATTTTTATTATTATTATTATTTATTATATATTATAAAATATTATAATATATTATATTTTGATAATAATTATAATTATTAAATAATTTAATTTAAATATTCGTAAATTATAGAATTTCCAAAAAAAAAAAATTATATAATTTAATAATAATTTATATAAAATTACAAAAATTAAACAAATAGAAAGTTATACAATAACATAACTTGGGAATAAATATAAACAATCAAAAAACATTGTTAATCGAATACATAGTATAAACAAAAAAATACTACCAACAATCTTAATTAAAGAGGAAAAAAAACAATTAAAACAATGAATATTAAGATTAATTTAATAGAGGAAGTAATTCTTCCTATAATGGATCAGTTTTGAATTTTGAATTACTAATAAAGAAAATACTCGAAAAATAAATACAACAAAAAGCATTTTCTTTACAAAATGAAAATTTTCAAAAAAAATGAAAAATTAAAGAAAACTTATTAATTGCAAATAATTTGTAAATAATTTGCAAATTAATTCAAAATTAATTAAAAAATAAATAAATTTAATAAAGTTTCAATAATTTTTTTTTCAGTTTAAATAAAAAAAATCCAATTTTTGAAAATTTTCATAATTATATAATTCAAAATTAATTAATCTATTTTTCAATTTTACTCTCAAAATGATAAATGAATTTTTTTTTTTAAATTTAATTCATTGTTTGATATTGTTCATTATTTAAATTTCTACTATCGCCACTATTGGCAAAACTCAATGCAAGTGAAACTAATGTTATATTTCCTCGATTTGTATCTGGCAATGGAAGAGTAACAATATTATTTTGCCTTCCATTTGGCAAATCTTTATAAATAGTTGATGTCTCAATAAAACTTCGAAATCCTGAATCTTGAATAGAATTATTATCTCTTCCATTTGGTGATTGCGCATAAATTGACAAGGTTCCATTTGGATTGTGAATTTGTAAATTCACAGTTCCAAATTGAGAATTATTGATTGTCGAATTTGCAAGTGGACGTTGATTTGTCTCAATATTTGTTGGCGATAAATGAATTTCAGAAATTTTTTGTGAAAAACTCGAACTACTTCCACTTTCTTCAATTCGAGGTCGTTTTTTTCTTCTCTCGGATCCTGCAAAAAAAAAATTAAATTAAATTATTTCTCTTTCAATATGAGACAAAATGAAATTTATTAAAAATAAATAAATTAATTTTTTCCCCACTTACTGGTTAACAATTTTTTAAATTTAAAAAATTTAGATTTCTTTTTTGTATTATTTACAGGTGTTTGAATATTTGTATTGTCCAATGATTTTTGGACAATAATCATTTGAGGATTATTTGCATGAACATCAGCTTGAACAGTCATTTGTTGTTGTATTTCATTTGGTGAATTGTCATTTAGAATAATTCTATTTGACAATGGAGTTGATTCAATTTTCAATGTTTTTTCTTCTTCTTCTTCTTCTTCATCATCATCATCATCATCATATTCTTTAATTGTTTCTTCACTATCAGTTATTTCTTTTTCTTCTATTTTCGAAAATTCCCTTGCCAAATGACATGTTTCCATCATTCTAATTCTCTCCTCTTTTTTTGATTCCTCTTTTTCAATTATCCATTTTTCATCATTTAATCCTCTTTCTGTTTTTCCTCTTAATTTTGAAATTTTTCTTATTGTCGATTCCTGTTGTATTGAACATTCTTTATCAATTATTTCCTCTTCCTCTTCATCATTTTTCTCTTCTGGAATTTCTGCAATTTTATTTTCATAAAAGAAAAAAAAAATCAATAAAAGCGGAGATAAAAAAAAAATCTTTTTCTTTTTAGAAAAGAAAAGGAACACCAACAAATTTTCCGACAAAAAAAATGAGTAAAAATTAACAGTTACTTTTCTGAAATTGACTCTTGAAACGATATATTTCTCATTAATCCTAATGACTGGTAAATAAAATAAAAAAAAAAAAAAAACAAAAAAACAAAAGTCCCTGAGATCAAGGTTCTTGCGATTATTATTTAATGGCTTGCTTAACAAAAGAGGGATTGAAAAAGTAAACACGAACTTACCTTCTGGTGTTTCCGAGGTTTGATTGCAGTACGTATAAAGAATCGGAAGAGTAAAAGCAACAACACCAAGAAATAACACTGTTCCTAAAATTATTGCCATGTTTCATTTATTTTTTTTTTTTCACTAATATTATATACACTGTTGATGACAAATCATCATCGACTTTTTCCGGTAAAATTCGTTTATTATCGCGTATCAAAATAATTTTATAAAGGTGGATATTCATCAAAAACCAAAACTTTAATCCCTATTCATCATTTTTATTTAAATTTCCCGGCTGAAGAAATTTTTCCCAAATATATTGTCCTACACTGAAAAAAAAATTTATTTGATTCAAATACTCGATTACTTGACTATTATCAAATAAATATTTATTTGTATCAAATAATTATTATTTGAAATGGGTATTTGTTCCGAATAGAGAAATTATTGGTTCAAATACAATTTATTTAATTCAAATAAAAATTATTTGGTTCAAATAAATAATTATTTGATAATAGTCAAGTAATCGAGTATTTGAATCAAATAAATTTTTTTTTTTTCAGTTTAAATTATTTTCAATTTTTTTTTTTTAAAGCTTTTTTTCAAAATTTCACGAAAAAAAATCTTTCCAATTCAGCTTGAAAAAATTATCGCAAAAAAAAATGTAAATAAAAACAATTGTTACAAAATGATTAATTAGCTGTTTTTTTGTATATAGACAATATATCAAATTCTATTTCCGGAAATAATAAATAATCATCGCACGATAATTATCATCTCAAACAAGTCACGAATAACGTGACTACATTTTTTTTTCCCTTTTTATTTTTTCAAACACACTAGACAATAAAAAAAAAATAGACTCAATTTTAAAATTAGAATTGTAGAAAATAATTACAAATTTTAATTATTGCTTCCTCATAGAAAGTTTTATATTATTACACTAAACAAAAATTTATTTGATGTGAATAATCTGTTACTTGACTATTATCAAATAAATATTGAACCAAATAATTTTTATTTAAATTATATTTGAACCAATAATTTTTTTATTTCAAATACAGAAATTATTGGTTCAAATAGTAATTATTTGGTTCAAGTAAATATTTATTTGATAATAGTCAAGTAACCGATTATTTGAATCAAATAAATTTTTTTTTCTGTTTAAAAAGTAAAAAAAAATTAATTATTTAAAAAAATAACAAAAATCATGTCTAATTGAAAAAAGAGAAATTTCTTCAGTAAAAAATTTTTTTGTTTATTTTAATACCAAAATGTATTAAAATAAGCAAAATTGGATTAAAATTTTATTATTAATTTTAATAATATATTTACTATATTTAATTAATAATAATAATTAATAATATATTTAATTTTTTTTATTAATTTTAATACCAAAATGTATTAAAATAAGCAAAATTGGATTAAAATAATAAGCGTTGCAGCTTATTTTAATGCCTTTTAATTTTCTGTGATTCTAATAAATCGTTAAGAGACTAATCAGACAAATTAAGCAGTGTAAAACCAGGCAAGCATTTGGAGTGGTGTCCCTAAAAAAATTCCAAAAAAAAATTATTATTTTAATTATTAATTATTCACGATTATTGAAACTAAAAGCCTAAAAATTGACAAAAAACGAAAAAATTGGAATTTTCTTTCCATTAAATTAAAAAAAAACACATTGTGAAAATAAATAATAAAAACGATAACTGTGCGTATATAATGATATATAATTTTGTGTTAATGTGACAATTACAATAATTAAAAAAAAAAATTGTAAAAAAACCGCCTATTATGAGAATACAATTGAAAAACCTAACTATATATTAACAAAGTGGAGAACCTAGTGTAATAATAACAATAATAAGTGACATTCACGATTTGTTATGGTGTAAACTTAACCGCGAAGATAAAAAGGAAGGTCTCAAGTTCGACGCTCGATTATATCTCGATCATAGAACCTTACTTTCATTTTTCTCTTTGATGCCACGCTGGCCTTTGGCCAAGACACCGATTCCAATAGAGCATCGAGATTTTTGTTATAAGGTAATCGACAAATGAGAATTAAGATCCTTATTAATTATAATCTCGATTTTCTCAGCGGAATGCCGTAATAATCTATTCATTTAATGATTTAATGAGATCTAAAATTAACAATGAAGAGATAGATACTTGGAAAATAGCCCTGACAATGAAAAAAAAAATTACCACAGAGAAATTAATAATAGAAGAATTAATTTTCAAACCTTTTTTTTTAAATTACTATCATTTCAGCAAATTTTCTAATTAATTATGAATATTTTTTTTTTGGTGAAAATAAATTTTTCAATAAATTAAATATGAAATATGAAAAATAATAATTAAACTAAAGTGACCTTAACCCCTTTGAATCAAGTAAGGGAATAATTTTAATTGGCATCGACATTTTTGCCGTAATCGAGGTTTACATTCGTTCCAGTCTGACAAATAATTCTAATTGACCGGGGACAATGGATTAAAAATTACGTTTCTTTTGTCTCTACTAGTCTACGTCTTTAATATATCAGAAAAATCACGATTCGGTCCATGATCTGTTACAAGGCAGTTATTATCAATGGAGACGGAATTATTTTTACTCGTGAAATTTTTATCCCGGATAAATTCACTAAAAATTTAAAAATCGTATTAGAATTAATTTTAATTTAATTTTTTTTTTTTTTAATTTTAATGAAGTTTTTTTTTTTTAACTTTAATTAATAATTTGTTCTCTAATTTTTATTCCATTGAATTTTCCGCGAAAACCAGAAAAAGGATAAAAAAAAAAAAAAACACTTAATTGAGAATTTTTTTTTAGTGACAGCAAATAAAAAAAAAATAATTTTCAAAAAAAAGAAAGAAATTTTGTGACAGAGATCGGTGACCGATAATAATTATTCCCGTAATTGAAATGAAAAAAAGATACATTTATAGAATGTGACCTTGACTGTTATTCTATATGTCTTAGTCGACTCTAGGTCATCTATGAGAATGTATATCCTGTCCGTTTATCTTCATAAATATGATTTCGACAGATTAAATATATTGCATAAGGCGGAAACAATACTTCAATTCAAAAAAAAAAAAAATCTATTATAAAAAAAAAATTTATTATTATTTTATATTTTTTTATTATTATTTATTTATTATTATTTATAATTTATATAAAATTTTAATAAAAACAAAAAAAAATTTCTATTTTTTTAAAATAGATAAAAGATAAATTACTAAAAAAAATTTATTAATAAAAAATTATATTTTAGGTAGCTATATATTTAATTGCTGATAATGAAAAAAAAAAAAAAAAAAAAAAACTAATAATATATTGAATGAAAAAAAAAACTACAGTGCCACCTGCGGTGCCAGTTCATAATATGATTCTCAAGGAAAATGCTCTACAACTTTTTTTTCATTATCATTTAATATTCTATAAATAATGTAGCTGCGGAAATAGAAAAAAAAAAAAAAAAAAAAAAAAACTCCACAAACTACTGCAGCTTCACATAATATGCAAATTTAATCATCCTGCTAATTATAAACACTGTGCGGATTTCTTATATAGACTCTTATCATTGATTATAACAAATACAATGATATTTTAATTAACTGATTTCATAAAATTCTATATAAACCACTTTGACAATTAATGCAATTTTTAACCAAGAAATAATTAGATAATGAAAACTAAGCACTTATTTTTCTATGAATAAAGAAACTTTCAATAATCTAATCGTTTTTATATGTATAATGATTTATACGACAAATTATAAAGTCATTAATAATTAAAAATCATTATACAAGAAATCTTTTCGAGTTCGACGCATTTTCAAAATATTATAAAAAAAAGACAATTTTTTTTTTTCAAAAAAAAAAAAAAAAAAAAAAAACTTATTGTAAATTTTAATTTCAACATTTGTATTTCCTTCTTTAATTATTTTCACCATTTATTCGAAATTTGATTCTTTAAAAAAAATTAATAACAAAAAAGCAATAATGATAATTTAATACTTATAATTATAAAAAATAAAAATAATAAAAATAATTAATAATAATAATAATAATATTTTTTTATTAGTATTTTTATTATTATTAATAATTATTATTTTTAAAAATTAATAATAAAAGCAATTTTCAATAAGAAAGTTTGTTTTTGAAAAAAAAAATTATTCAATTAATTATTAATATTGCCTTTCATACAAGATTGCTTTAATCCAATGCTATTAGAGTGTAATAGCTATATAGATCAGTTCGTTATAGTAATCCAATTAATTCAAACTAAATTCCTAGTTAATCTAGTTCCTACCAGTTTTGACCCAATCAGAATCTATCCTTTCAATAATTATTATTTATCAAAAAAAAAAAAAAAGATTGGCCTCTTTAGACAATTTTTTTTTAAATAAAATATATAAATAAAATTTTAATAAAATAATTTTTCTAATTATAGTTTGAAAATTTATCATTTCTTGAATCTACAACAATTTTCGAAAAATAACAAACTATCATTTATTATTATTAAAAGAATCGTACACCGAAAAAAATTTATTTAATTCAAATAATCGATTACTTAACTATTTGTTCAATAAATATTTCTTTAAAAATAAATTAAAATAAATAAAAAATAAATAAATAAATAAAAATTATTGGTATGGACAGAATTTATTTAAATCAACTGAAAATTATTTAAATAAATATTTTTGAATCAACTAAAAATTATTTAAATAAATATTTGCATCAACTAAAAATTATTTTGAATAAATATTTTGTATCAACTAAAAATTATTTCAATAAATATTTGAATCAACTAAAAATTATTTCAATAAATCAGAGAAAATTAAAAGGCATTAAAATAAGCTGCAACGCTTATTATTTTAATACAATTTTTCTTATTTTAATACCAAAATGGATTAAAATAATAAGCGTTGCAGCTTATTTTAATGCCTTTTAATTTTCTGTGATATTTTGCATCATCTAAAAATTATTTTGAATAAATATTTTGTATCAACTAAAAATTATTTCAATAAATATTTGAATCCACTTAAAAATAATTTAAATAAATATTTTGCATCAACTGAAAATTATTTAAATAAATATTTTGAATCAACTAGAAATTATTTAAATAAATATTTTGAATCAACTAAAAATTATTTAAACAAATATTTATTTTACAATATAATAGACAACCA